CCCCAAAACCCCAAAACCCCAAAACCCCTTTGATAAAACATAATGCACATTTTGAATGCCATTGTTATAAATATCAAAGTCATCATTATATGTGTTAACCTAATTATACACGTCCATTTACTTTATCTATAAGGACTATTTTATCTGGTAATCTGTTTTGCTAAACTCCTATCCTATTATTTATTAGTTGAGTTCTAAGCTATTCAATGGCCAGTGGATCCAAATCAAGCTACTTAGCCTCTTCAAAGCTTTCATCATTATCATTATTTAGTACATTTCTGAATCTATGATTTATGTTTGTATTATTTACCTGATTTGTATTTGATCTACTCCTCTAAGCACTTCTTAAATTTATAGCGTCTCGTTCATTTTGATTGGTATTCTATGTGTTATTAGATTTTCGTTCTTCCTTTGCTAGCTATTTCAGGTTTTAGAGTCTTTTACCAACATTCATACTTTTATAAATATTTTGATTCTTGCTTGATGGAACTATAGTAGTACTTGTTTGTTCAGTGGTACTTCTGAACTAATCATTGATGCTATCTAGCTTTAAACTCTGATTTATCTTACTCGTTGCAATAGTCTTTTCTTAATTTACTTGCTTTTTCTCAAATATATTTTCTTCAGTTGATATTAATTTCTTTTTTGCACTTAAGTTAGCATAACTTCTCACAATATTCAACTAGCTACCAGTATTTAAAGTTAATGATTATTATAGATTACTACCTCTCTCAGTTTAATTTTGCATTAGGGTATTTTACATCAACAGAATCTTTAGAATATCTGGATCTAGACATTCTTACAGTCTTTTGATCTCATCAGCCAGCTTTTGATTTTCTTCATTTTTTAACTGTATTATCTCTTCTGTATCTTAAATTTATTTCACACTTTTGTTGTACTAGGTTTCTTGCTGCTTTATTTTTTGACTGTACATCTTTCCCTCATTCTCAATCATTTTCCTTTTGAATTAAATCAGTTTTTTAGCTTTAGCTATGTCACTCTCAGTATCTTAAATTTTAGTGTCAGGACCCTTTTTATCGCCAGTTTTATTGTAGTCTATCATATTTTCTATCCTATTTGTATAATTTCTAAGATTTTATTCAATCTACGAATTATAGTTAGAGGTCGTTCCTCCATTATTATTAATACTATTCAAATTTGGCTAGGAATTGTTTTGAATAATAGTTCTATTTGTTTTAATCAAGCTTAAGTGCGTCTTAAGTCGTTCAATCTACTTGGAGACATTGTAAATGTTGCCATGATCCTATTGATTTTGCTTTATTTCCTCTCGATTAGATTTGTCTAGCTACCTAAATCGTTTCTTCATCAGCTTTATCTCTCTCCTAAGTTGATCTTCCTCTTAGGTAATTTATTCTTTTATTGGGTTAGGCTATCCTAACAATTCTTACTGTTATTTAACCTATTTTTCTAGTTATTATACCTTTTCTTGTAAAACTTAGCTTTATCTTTAATTATCAGTGATGACATTCATGAACTCATTAAGTCTCTCGGAGTTCGTCAGTTTTTCCATCCTATCACTGAGTCTTTTCAATTACTCTTTCAACTGAAGTCCCTAGTTATGATTTTATTCTATCAACCCATCAAGATTTTCTACTTCTGGATCTCTGGGTATTTTCTTCTCCTCTTCATATTTATTAGTTCGCTTACTCAACTTTTACACAGCTTGGACTGTGAAACGGCTTATTTCCTCCACCGACTGCCTTATTTCTTTGTTGTTTTTAAGCAAATTTTCTATCATTTGACTATAGGTATATAAGGGAACAGTCAAAATGCTTACTCTCTTGGATCATCTGTCTGAATAATGATTTCTCGAGCATTATAATTAGTGTAGCCCCCTTCAACGATTTCTATCGGATCACCTTCCTCAAATTTATTATTTGCATGTCTATCTTCTATTAACTTAAGCTCTTAATCTATCTAGTAAAGATGCTATCACTCGATATTACCTTACTTTTCTAAGATATTCAGAAAGCTAAACTAGATAGTCTTGAGATTACTGCAGAAAAGTTTGATTTCCTTAGGTGTTCATAAAGTTATTGCTGTATTACTCTAATTAGCTGCTATTACCACTGGGATAAGAGGATACTTAGGAGGGCTCCAGAATTGTTCTTGAATATTTTTAAGTATTTAAACCACTTGAAGAGTCTTTTATTCTCTGCAACAAGCTTGGCTATAAATCTTTTTGATATCTAAAATGCATCAAAGAGGATGATTTTTACCTTATAGATGTCATTTCTATTAAAATTTATATTAATATTTTTAGCAAAAAAGTTAAATTCGTTATATCAAGAATACACCATACAAATGGGGTTTTGGGGTTTTGGGGTTTTGGGG